TTTGTTGATGTTCGTAAAATGTTGCATACGTACATAAGTATTTACATATTTATGGCATTAATCGTCGCTGAGAATACAGACTGCAATCTGCCGATGGCCAAAACAAACATAACGATTTTATTATATTACATAATCTTATTCATTATAAATGACAGTAATAAAGGTAGGGTATTTAATCTCTACAATGGGATAGTAGTTATGTATAAAACTTTTTGTTTCAAATTTAAATTGTATTGTACGGTACTGAAATGGGAGCGATGCTTGACGTCAAGCGCTGTGATTTTACATGGAAATTAGAAAAATTCATACGGAGCCACATCCAAAACAATTGAAAACATGCCATGGCGCGATCCGATCGATATGCCATTATCGTTGGAGACTTCGGCGATTATTAATAAGCGCTTCTTTTTCTTATTCCACGATTTCAACAGTTATTTATATTTATTTATAACCCGGGCGTTCATGCCGCTCGTCATCTTCAACATGTTCATGTGACCGAAATACCTACGAGTATACCACTCAACAGTCCTTGCTTTCTTAACATTTCACTCACTTTGATACACTTTGTTCCATTTTTGACGCGGAACTTTATACACAAACGAAAATCGCCGAGCTCATGAAATGTGATCTGAACCTTGTACCTATACGATTATAATGTAACTCATATCGTTAAAATTTTGTGTCAGTTAGGGAGGTAGAGAGATGTGGTTCAGATACTCCGATAAATATTTGAGCTTTCCTCGGTATACCAATTTCGATACACCTTTTTTGTTGTTGTTGTAGCGGTTCGCTAAGCCCGCATAGGAGGAGAAGATATTAGTCGAAGTCATCTAACGGGAGGTCCAGGAAACGAAATCTTTGGGAAAATACTTTTTCGATTAATTCATATAAGGGGGCTCACACAAAGAGGTAGTTAGCGTCGTGCTGGGCCTCGTTTCATGCAGAGCAAACATTGAGTATGCCATGGTTAAGTTTGGAATATCCATAACTTGATGGCGCCAATATTCCATGGGACTCTCGATGCAAGATGAGCTCCTAATCTGCAATGGTGCTTGGCTTCTGAAGGGAGTTCTTAGAGCTGTTAATGGACTCTCAGCGAATAACGTTTAAAGCCTGCCAGCCATTTTCGTTTTTTCGAATATTTTTTTATTCTTGTCTAAAATGATGTATTGATTCTTTGTAGTCTAGTACTCGTTGTTAGCAGTTATTCGAAAAGACATACTTTTTTTTATTTAGCTAGCACTTAATCGACAGAGAATGTCAATTTCTCGAGCACATTTAAAATTGTTAGAATAATTAATTGGTCGTTAAGAGAGTTTTAAGATTTTGTTGTTTTTATTTTATTTCTTACTAAGATTTTTTCTCATACTTTACATCATCTTCATTCTTTGCAGTAACCCTGGGGTCATTTAGACCTGACGCGGAAACCTAGTCCCAACTACTCAAAAGGTTGCCACTGCACTAAACCAACATCGAAAGTTGAGCCAGATGTGAATGTTTACGTAAAAGCTTTCTTAGATTGCGTGGGCGTACCGTTAAGTTGTACACAATTCCTGTGAAGCAAAATAATATTTAATAAAGAGAAAAACACAAAATTCACCACATTTATGTAATCAGTAGCTGCATCTCTGTAGTAAATAAAACTCGCTCAAACCCTTTTCAGTCCGAATAATTTTTATTCTTATTTTATTTGATAAATTTTTTTTATTTTCTCAACTTAATATTACAATATATAAGAAGTACATGCGTATGTACATTTGTATATATGTATGTATTTAAATACTTATAATTTAATATGAATGTATGTTTGTATGCATGTATGTATGTATATTTAGCATTTGATTACCATTTTCTAAGTATGCAATTTATTCATACATTTCATTTTTCATTTGTTGCCTTTGTTATTGTAAGTATTTGGCAATTATTGTACACTACTTTGTATTCTTTTGTCCGTTATAATTATGCTTACGGTTGACAAATGTTGCTATTGTTGCTATTGCGCGAAACACAGTCGACATACACGTATATGTATATGTAAGTACACATGTATGCGGCTCGTCAACTAGACAGTTGGTCAGCAAGAGAAGCAACCGAGGTTAGCCATAAATGAGAGCTTAACAACTACTTAGTCTGCATGTATGTGCATATATGTGTACTTTTATCTGTCATTGTATAGAAAAAATATTAAAAGAACTAATTCAGTGCAATAAATCTCTGCGATCCCTTTAATAGCAGCAGTTGCCAACCGTTGAAGAAAAAAGCTTTTAATTGTGTAATTAGTGAAGATTACTAAAAAGCTTAGAAATACCATTTCATAGTTCCTTTGTTACGTGTAGCTAATAATGCAAATAAATACGCGACTGTTTATATAATATTAGGTGAAGTAAAAAGTAATCCATTATTTTCCAATAGATGGCGTTATTTATTCGTATCTCGCGTTTTATAAGTCCGATCGGCTTCCGCTATGTAGCGGCAGAAAGATGATATTTCGAACTAAAAAAGCTTCTCTGAAAGTTTTGTGATTGTTTGATTCAGTTTTATTTGAGTCAGTATTGCGTCAGAGATGGACACTAGCAAAGATAAAGGGGGAAATTAAAAGTTTTTATGGTCCTGATACTGTTCCCGTCAATCATCCACAATTTCGGTCTTTTTCCGGTAATTTCGCAGCAAAAGATACTTAACGGTGCGGAAGGCCAATTGCCGAAAATATCGATAACCTCAGGGACATTGTCGAGTCCGGCCGTCATGTAAGCACTGTTTCGATTGTCCAAGAGCTAAAGATTGAGCAAAAAACCGTTTGGAATAATTTGAATAACGCTGGATACGAAAAGTAAAAATTAAAGCCTTCAATTTCATTTCTTCTGCCGCGTTGCTTCAGACGACTAGTTGCTATACAAATTTTTCACCGCCACGTAATGGAAGATTTCTTCCATAGTCATCGATTTACTCTGCTGTGCTCTCCGCCGATGTTGCCTACTTCTTTGTTGTAACACACAGTAAATAGATTAAAAAATTAAGCAAAAATACAATAGTTCTTTAAACGAAATAAGAACTAAATTTAATTATTTTTGTCACAAAATATTAGTTAACCACTATAGACGGAAGAGCAAATTAATTTTACAGAAGCAAAATTCTGTTTGAATAATGTTAATAAATAATGATGCTCAACAGAGTTGCATAGCGTAAGAAATTTCAATTCGTTCTTCGATTTTCGACAGCATTAACGAACTTGTCCGTGACTCGTGGCTGATTACCACGTGATGTGCAAAAGTAGTTCCAAAGCAGAAATTGCATTTGGTAGTATTTTTATGTATAATCAACCCAGCGTTACCCACTTCCCGCTCAACCGGTCGAGGAGCGCGTTTGGGGGATAATCAAAAAATCCAACAGACCGGTGCCCAAAAACCAGTAACAGTCTGGATTGTCCTGAACCCGGGACCGATAGCCTACACTAAACAACTACAGATTTGTTCATCAGCTGTTTTCATATTACATGGAGAAAAGGAGAAGGAATTTACTTCGTGGTTTGAAACGCTCAGTAGATTTTGATACAGAAGAGTCTGAGGAATTAATGTTGGCGATATGTAAATAGGAATGGCTATTGATAACACTTCTTCTCAATTTAGTTAAACATGAAACTCCAAACATTTCTCTACAACTGTGGATCCGTAAAAGACTTCTGTAAGAAGGCAGGTTCTTATTCGCATCCAAGTTTAAATTTCTTAATGCGAATAGCAAGAATTGCTTTTCAATAAATGGCCAAAGATAGATAAGCATAGTGAATCGGCTCCAGAAAGATATCGGGTACAAATTAGATTTTTTTTGTTTTCAAATTCCTTAATAAATTTTTCTGATTGGCCCGATACTCTTTTAGGGACGATAAGCACATTCTAAAAATTAATAAATTGCATCATTCTATTTGTTGAGAACAGACAGTGAGAGTGAGAGAGAGAGAGAGAGAGAGAGAGAGAGAGAGAGAGAGATAGGGAGAGATACGTAGTTTATATCAATGATGATTACATGCGAAATCTACTCAAATTCTTCCAGGGCGTTTTAGGACGTAATTCCCTCGCGATTCCCTCGACATAATCACACAGCAGAGTCGGTAAATCCGGCAACTATGGATCGGTTTGGCACCACTTTTACTCTAACGGATAATGCGCACTCTCAGAGCGGCCGTGCAATATGCACCGAAGACGCTATTTTTGCTATGGAACAGAGTATCAAAGACCCGGTTGTGACTATTTTAATATACAAAAATCGTACAAGAAATTATTTTCTTATCATAGTGTCTTAATTTTGAAAATTTATAGAAAATGTTGGCGCTCTCACGCGCTATACAGTAACGGTAACCTCAAAGGTTGCCTTCGCACGTACACGTCGGTGAGTTTCATTTACATGGTACCCCCGAAACCTTGAGTGTGACAGTTTATTCGGAACGTTCGTTAAGTTCGTGAATGTCTCTACTATTACATATACACATATATGTTAAAAATAGAATTTCTTCAATCATAAATATGTAAATGATTTTTCTATTTATATATATATATATGGTATATATGTATAATCAAATACTTAAATCTAAACACATCTATTTATAATTATTGTTTTATGTCAAAGTTTGTTTAAACACTTCGATCGTTTTATTGTTTTCTTTTTTTGTAATTTTCGTTTTCATTCAATACTAAGTATTCTATAATCTGAATTATTGTAACAAATGCTTTCTTTTCATAAATATGTAAATATTTTCTAGCTTTTAATATTAGGACACACAATAATCACAATAATAAATGTAAATTACTTTCATTTCCCCGCATTGAGCCTCTGATGCATCGCACATAAATGCATACTTATGTACGAGTATATAATTCAATGTATTGTACATACAAAGGGTCGGTATGTGAGATTAATTTGATTTCACATTTAAATACTCACCTCAATGCTATTATAATACACATACATATATACTGGATATGGCCGTCTGTGTGTATATATAAATATATGTTTTTGCAGCATTAAGAGCTGAATATTATTATTGATGTATGTACATACCTACTCATATATTTATCTGATACATCATGCATATGTAAGTAACTTGTTTGTTTCTGTTTTTATTTATGGTTGGGTTTGGCTGCATTTCAATTATCCAACTGTCGCTAATTAATTACCGTAATCATCGATGAACGTGTCGATAATGTACCGTTTCACCTCATTTATTGATGTACGTTTATTGGAGCATTGCTGTCGTTCTTGGTTATCGGGCAGCACAAGTAATTGTTGTAGTTCACCCTTTTTGGAATTTTTGTTGTTGTTAATGATGTATATTATATTATAATATTATTATTATGTTTATAACAAATATTCTTATTAAATTGGTGTAAAGAGTGTGGAAAAACGAAAAAGTTTACATAATTGTTTTTGCGGCCATACTACAAAATAATTTTGGTTATACTGTTTGTTTGCACTGGATAGTTGGCGCAGTGGTAGAGCACTGTTAAGTCAGGATCCGTTGGTTCGATCTCTGCCATAAGAAGTCTGATGAGGAGATGTGGTGATCTCCAAAACCGCTGTAACTTCTACCATTTTTCTTTGATGTATAACAAAAACATTCAATTCACACAAACAAACCAGGCTTTTAGATTACTTAATATTTCTAACAAAAAGTTTAAATTTAATCGTATATCAATGATTCGTAGATAACTGCTGGGGTTTTTCCAACCAATTAAGATGAGAATGGGTTTTTCTCAGCTTCTTAATTCATTTGAATGGTAAGTTATATATTCTATTAACAGAAAGAAAAACGGTCTACGGTCAATCCGAAGTCTTTATACCATTCGTGACCATATCAAATTCATGGTACTACATTTTAGGATTAAATATCAACTTTTAAAGCTTTAAATGCTCTTTTGACGAGATGCTGACTAAAAAATCTCATATCGGGTGCGGTAGGTCTATCTATTCTCCTTCTGGTACTTACACGCACACACTTCGGACCAAAGCTAATATAACATTTCAAGGTATCGAATTGAACCTGGACTAAAACAGGTCTGCAAATATTTAATCTTATTTTCAGCTTTTGGATTTGAATGCTATAATGAGGGGGACTCAACCCTATCAGCTTCAGATTTTTTTTGTAAAATTCCTTTGTGTGGAAGCGAACATTTGGCGGCATTCATCTGGTTTTTTAATGTAAATGGGAAATTTTTTTCATGATATAAAAAAAACTGGCCGAAAAATAAATGTTTTTATTAAGCCTTATTCAATAAATTCTTAAACTGTAAATACGTGTATACATAAATAACTTTAAGTCGGCGCCGTAGACAACAGTTTCATTAATTATTTGGAAGCAAATTAATTAATTACGTTTAGAATATGCGCGGCGACGACTTGGCGTGATACGAAGACTCAGCTGAAAATGTCAAGCGTTCACGAAGTTAAGCGGGACAGCAACCCAAATAGGCATACGTTGGGTAAGGGTGGGTTTAGATGGAGAATATTTAGGACATTCCCTGAAGAGCTTTAAGCCTTATAGAGTACTTATATGTGCGCCTAGTCAAAACAGAATATAACTGTAATGGAACGCAATGAATTTACATTGGTTTAAGAATTTACGTATTACTACGTCATTTTTTCGTTATGCATAACTCATAATGAATCACACCTATTTTTTGACACTTTGGGTAAGAATTACTTTTTTTTACTAAATCATACTGTGCGGTAAGGCATATGCGGGATTATGCATCGAAATCTGGTTAAAAGACTATTCCAAATATCGATGGGACCCATTTAGCTAGATTTAACTTAAAAATATTACAAATGTGCATACTTTTATAAATCCGTGGGATTTTCTTTGTGGAGACTCGCAAAATATTCAAGATAATATTTTTTAAATTCAATTCTTGCTTATTCACCCAGAGCTTCATTACTGCCTCCGAATAAGAACATCGAATAATAAATAATAGTTGAATATTTCAGATGAAAAATTATAAATTTTAATCAACGCAATTGAGTCTGAAATGAAGCACAAAACATAACAGAAAGTGCGAAAGAAGAAGCTGTATTTAAGCAAAATAGTGAAACTCAAAATTTGATACATAATTCTACATACTTATTTTATAAAGCCACTATCAGAAAATTGTAAAACGCCGCGTGCTAAAATCTATCAGTATTTAAAATATACGAAATCAGAGTGAAAACTGTCTATTTGCAGTTGTACAATAAGCGGTTTAGAACGAATTCTAATCAATCAAAATCAGCATTTTATTTATTTACTTTTGATTCAATTACTGCACTGACAAAGGTCAGTCGAATTTAGAATATAATAAAATATTAATATCACCAAAAAAAAAATTAAAAAGTTCTTTATTAAATGAAATGTTTGTTAGTGAAACGGAATACTTAAAAAGTTCAGTGAATTTCCAATAATAGTGAAATCTCCTGCGATAAACATTAAAGGGCCTGGCTAAATGCGAGCTGACTGAGTTGGCTTTTCTTGACTTGAGTCACTTTGAATGTTTGTAATGCGTAAAACAAGGCAACATTTGGTCCCACACGTAATATCACATATAACTACTCTATAGCACTTAGAGCCTCCGGGTTGATGTCTCATTTAGTTTCGTGAACGTTTACCATTTTCAGCCGAAGCTTCGTATAGCGCCGAGTAGACGCTACGCATAACTTTTAACAATTGGTTAATATGCCTTTAATTCATTAATTATTATAGCTTGGACTGGAGGTTATGCTCTTCCTTTGCTTCCATCAGCGAGTAATGTAATGTAAACTTTCAATACTGGAGTATTCTTAACCATACCGAATAGATGACCTAGCCAGCCGCTGGATTGATTCGCTGGTCTATTCAAAGGCGCCAAAAATCTCGTAACCATCGTTCCATCGGCACCAGTATCGCCATTGTCAACGCGCAGAGAATCATAAATATTATAAAAAATCTTTCTCCCAAAAATTTCCAACACCGGCGGGTCAGTTATTGTCATCGGTCATGCCTGCACACCATTTAGCAGGATGAGAATGATGGGCGATTTATAGAGCTTGGCCTTGTTCGTCAAGAGAGGCCTTTACTTTTGAATTGCCTACACAGTCCAAAGCAGAAGCAGTACACATTGTATGAAAATTGTACCTTCCCTATTAAGTTCTGCAGTTCGTATTATTTTCTCCAGCAATAGATTCAAAAGAAGCCACACCGATAAGGTCCAATCAGCTTGTTGACGGTGAGCTTATCTTTCACCCAATACGTCCGGTAATTGGTGCAGACTGTGGGATCCTTGTTTTTGGTAAAAAAAGCTGATGATGCGCATTCTCAATTTGTTGCCGCCGTATTTGAATAGCTCAGCCGGTAATCCACATTCGTAGAATTTTCGTGCATCATACTCACACAGAACTCTGGAGACATATCGTGCGCCCAAATTTACCTTCGTTTAAGAATTTATTTATTATGGCGCAATAAAAAATTTATTATTTTCAGCTTTTTGGTTTAAAGCGTTTATAATTTCAAGGTTTAAAAAAAAGTACCCACTACTCGCGTTTAAAAATTTCTCTCGGCTGACGATACTAAATGAAGTTTTACTTTCATCAGGTGCGGATGTATTTGTACATATGTTTATTATATTATATACCCCATATACGTGCATGTGCAAATATTCCATACATATATATCTTTTAATTATAATCCATAAATTTGGCCGAACGAGATTTTTGGGCAAAATATTGTCATAAAAATATTTGCTGTTAATCAATTCGCCACAACAACACAAAAAGCCAACAAAACCTACACTTTAACATAAAACCAAATAATATGCGACGGCATGCATTCCCATACTTACTTTAAAGCCTCGCCCAATTTCCACATCCGCATCCAGCGGCAGTGTGTATAGGCGCTTCGACACGACAAAACTATTTGTCCAGGAACAATCCACGTAAATGGAAATAAAATCACCATTTTGTATACTGCAATTACGTGGAGTGAGTGGGGTGTCAGAAGAAGAAGCACGCACGCATGGCACACATGGAAGTGAAAAAGCGAAAGAGACAAAAGTAATTTAAAGTCGAATAAAAAAATTTAAATTTACCAAAAGTTGATGAAAAATAACACAGGTACATACGAGTATATATATATGTATATATATATATATACATATATATATTGCATAAATGTGAAATATAACATATATAAAAAATGTATGTACGCCTGTGTGGACATCAGTTTTTATATGACGGTATGCTTGTATAAGCGCCATGCTTCAGTGAAGAAATAAAATGAATATCGAAACGATTAAAATGAGAATAAATAACGTTACAAAGAAAAAGGTCAATTTGTGTAACAGTGAAATGTTGAAAGGGAAATAACAAAGCGAACCAAAAAAATGTAAAAATACTCGGATTCATCCATCGTGTATATTCACTGCATCAGTGGCACTAAATATGAACAGAGCCGCAGAAATATGTCGGTATGTGGCTGTGACGCGGTGAACTGTGTGTGAAAATTTATGCATACACGTATTATGGTTACAACCAAACGGTAAGTCGAACCATACAAAAGTGTAGTCCTTTTTTGCTGTACGACAACACTGGTTCATATTTGAGCAATCAATTACTAGTTGCGTACTCAATTAGTCAAGCAGGATGAGAACAAATTTATATATGTATTATATATAGCAATGAAACGTAATACATACATACAAAAAAGTGAACTTTCAAAATGTGTTAATTGAAAAAAAAAAAAAAAATGATTTCAAAGTATGTACGAGTAGATGTTGGCGCTGGCGTTATTTCAAAAACTGACGGAAGCCTACCATCGTCAAACTGATACTCTCACTCGTTGAAAGCGTCATAAATATGTACGTACGTGTATGTACGTGTAAGCCTTTTTATATGTAGATTATCGATTCATAACTCACCTGATGGCCACTTGATGCCAACGAAAATCGTATAAATTAAATTTCACTGGCAGCATTTCAGTGGTGCCGTCCCGCTCCAGATACAAGCGTAGCCCATCCTTGCACGATTCCAAATACATGTTGTGTGTGGCGTTGCGTATGGAGAAAATAGTCGTTGCGGTTTTGCTGTCATTCTGTGTAAAGGCCATGAGGACATGGCGAGCACGTCGGTTGCATTTATATTAGCAGGTGGTTGGGGTTGTATGGGTAGGCGTGAAATGATGGAAAATATTTTCATATATGAAAAATACAATATCATAAGAAAAATATTTACGGGAAATCAACAAAAATAATAAACAGTTAACTGAGAGAGGCGATGAAATACACATGTCTGCATGGCTGTTTACATGTACATACATATACATCTATGTGTGTATAAGCACATATTTTTCTGACAGCTGACGTCGTCGTTCGCCTTTACGTGACACTTTAACATTATTTTCGGTTGTCTATCATTTATGTAAAAAAATTATAGGTGCGTGTGGTTTTAGCCATATTTCACTTTATTCGCCGTTAATTTCAACTTTTACTTTCATCTGCTACAGAAGTACTACTGAGGGAAAATGACTCAAGCCCCGGCCCAACCAATATCTAAAGTTATTGAAAAGGATTGTCATTACCTCTGTATTTACAACAAATGGAGAGACTTTCAGTTATTCTAAGCCTCCTGCGAATAGACGATGCATTTTTACTACGACTCTTTGATTTTTATTTCAAAAATACGCTCGGAGGAATTGGCAGTCCCTATCTAGGGGTGACCGCAATTAAAATATATATATTTTTTATCATTTCGGATTTTAGCCAGATTAGCACTCGAACCATGGCCTTCCGTAATATATATACATACATAGACAAACAACAAGACGCATACCACAAATTGGAGGAGGAGCTCGGCCGAAAATCACTTCAGCGGTTACAAAGCACCAATTATATATATTTTGTTAAATATCGCAGCAAATAAAAAAGTTACAAATTTTCGCAATTGAATGAATCTTCGAATTTCAGTTATTTGTTTTTCTTTCTAATAATTTTAATTGAAATCTTGCGGCGAAAATACCTGGGGCTCTAAATAGAGTTCCACATGAAAAATACACTAAATAATCAATATTTTTTTCCTTTATCAATTTAAATTTTGTTTGTATAAATTTTACATATGTAATAAATAAAAAGTTCCGTAACGAAAGTTATTGCAGAATTTCATATATATTTGTTAATAAAAATCCGAATTCAATTTTCTAAAAATAAAATAAATCGAATAAGTAAATAAAATGCATTGAAATGTGAACAGATTTATATTCTTGTGTATGTATGTGTTTGTAGGTACATACATATATGTATTATATGTTTTAACCAATTTAAAGAATTTTTTAAAATTACCAAAATTAAGTGCTATTGAGGAATTACAAAAGAAAATATATTTCATTAATTGCTCTTGAGGGATTTTACTAAACTTTGAGTGAAGATGTAGTGGGTAGTACTGCATTTAGTAGAGGATATGATATGTCCTTACATACACACATATCTACAAGCATGCATTTGTACATGTTTTCGGTACATACAAAAATAGAAAATCCGCAGTCGAAGCTTACCCTGAAGGAAAATTGAAATTAAAAGTTCATTTAACAATATTCCTTTAAAATTTGAAAGATTATAAATAAACTGAGGAATTGCTGAATTATAACGGGTTTTTGCATTTTGGTACAATGTCGGACTTTGAGTTCGTAACAATTTATATAGAGATGTATAAAATTTGGAAAATCAATTATTATTTACCTAAATCTTCATTCTGTAAATATCAGGTCATAACCTATAAGCTCTGTGGTGAAGAACATTCCCACTAAAGCTCCATTGTCCTCTTATCATTATCTGAGTATTTATATATTTGTATTTGAAAATCTCAAATTTCTATAAGCCACATTTGCATACAATGCAAGCAAAAAAACTTCACCGATGCAAATAGACTTAACATCAATGCATGTTTGTAGATATATATGTATGTAATTCATATTCTCAGCTGCCTGCGGTTCGGTTACAACCAAAGGCCATTTTGAGTTCAAATCGAATCTGATCAAATCAAGTCCTTTCAACTTTCTCTTTATTTGTTCTTGCTCTTTTTTATTTCGGTAGTTTTAGTTCCGTTTACTCTTTTGACGTTTTAAAATGTTCTTCTTCTTGATATTACTTTTTCGTGCAATAACTTTGGAACGTGCAGGAAAGCTTAGCCAAATTAAGTAAACATAAGCCCAAGCATATGTGGATATAAATATAATACCTATATGTATATACATATGTATATAAATATATATTATATGCATAAGAATATAAGAGTATAAATATTTGTAATGATTAAGTTTTCTTATCAAATTGAGAGTTTGAAGATTTACTTGTTTACTGGTCATGCAAAAAAGAGCTTTTAAAATAAAACCAAACTACCGGAGAACTAAGATGTAAGAATTATTAAATTTTTTATATTCTCAACTAAAAACTTATTTATTAAAGTTAAACACAAAATTTAAGAGTTAGAATAAAAATAAAATAAAACAATAAAACTAAATAAAATAAAATAAAATAAAATAAAAAATAAATATAAAACAAAATGAAATTAAGCTAATTAAAGTGAATAATATTAAATGAAGTAGAACATAATGAAATTGAACGAAATCAAACTAAATAAATCAATGTAAGATAAAATAAACTTCAGCAGAAGAAATTTTATTAAGGGAAATAAAACAAAGAGGGTTGGTACTTTCTCGGTCGTGCACATGAAATAATATATTAATTTGCTCCGGATGATGTATACTGATAGAATCAAAATGATATAGGATTTGGCCTAGTTTGCCATGTCCGTATGTCCGTCTATTTGTCAATCAGTTTTGAGATGTTTCGAGCAAAAAATCATTTGTCGGAATCTGACCGCTAAAGACCGTTTTTTCAGATTTTATATATTGAGTCAAATATTTGTAAAAAAATATAAAAGCATGAAATTCGGTACTCCGCACACTTAAATAGCGCCCATACAGCCGATTTGTTCAGATGTGAGGTCGAAAATCCGTCAATAAAGCATCTAAGAGCCGGTTTCGGGATTCGGTATTCTACACACGTCAAAATGGTCGAAATCGGAAAACTTCCTCATATAGCCCTCTCTTCAACCACCATTTTCAGATATTAGAATTAATTTATAACCATAAAATGAAATATCATAAATTCGATACGACCATGGAAGGTAGAAGGGCTGCGGCAGTTCATCTTTCTTTGTTTTAAAATACAATTTCAATTTTTTTGTTGTATGATGGCACGCTATGTTATTCCAGTGGCTTACTTTCGTTTTAGTTAACAAATTCAAGATAGTAATGAATCCTGCTTAAGTATTGTACTTCCACTTCTATTTCTACTTACTCGAACTCGCAACGTTAGCATTATCGTAAAATTCAACGGATTCCGCCAGCTACGTATATAGCCCATGTTCGCTGGTGTCGTCGAAGGTGAATTGCTGGCAATAGTTGCTGGGCTGCCAAAAGCATTTGCATTCGTCGCTTCGACGCCAAGTGAGTTGCCAACACCAGATGTTGCGCCAGCATCACTGATAACACCGCCTGAACTAGTGCCAGTTGCAGCGCTGTTGTTGTTGTTGTTGATGTCAAGAGCTGATGTGGCGCCTGTTGTATCCGCATTGCCAGTCAAATCAACTGTCATAGCAACTCCTGCCAACGGTCCGCTCGCTCCCACTGCACCTGCCATGGTCGCTTCTAATGTAACCATTGTGATTGTTGTTGTTGCTGATACGAAGCTATCAACTGCAGGTGGCATTACTTGTGGAGATTGTGCTGAAACAGTTGCAGGATTCGCCGCATCCTCTGGCACAGGGAACTTTTTATAAAATTTTAATAAGTCACTTATGTCATCTGGAATGTTATGTAAAGCAAGAAGAAGAAAAAGTATTAGTTTATTTTCCGAAAAGAAAAGGCTTTAAAGAAAGGAATTTAATACAAAAGAGGAACAAAAATTAAAATCAATAACAAACTAATGCTGAAAACCATGACTAGTATCTATCAAGCACACACACACACACACACGCACACAGAGAATCACTTGCATATGCAGTTTTATTTCCAACTTCATGTACACACATACGAGTATGTAGATTTCTATTAGCTGGTCTGCTGATTTGGTAGGGAGAGTGGTGTAATCTGCCGAGTTAGGATAGAAAGGGCATCAGACGTACTAATTTCCCCTGTATTGACTTTGTGAGTTGTGATACTCTGCTCAGTACATGTCTATCATACTCGTACGGGTTGTTTTTAACTAGACCTTTGTTATTTTCGATTGGATTTTTTGCTTTATTCCTCACTCTAATCAGTTACGAGTTTAATCAAGTGAGCGCTTTGGCGGAAATAAATCTCCATATGTAACTGTGAACTCCTGTGTGGAAGAATTCACTTGTAAAAGGTAAATTCAAATAGAAAACTTTACAAATAGATACATTTTTCAAAAGATTCATAGCAAAGAACACACATCCAATGAAAATGTTTACAGATTAACATCCAAAATTACTCAAGCTGTTTTGAACTGGCTAGGCAGTTGAGAAACAAAATCCTCTCTCGCCGAACGAAAATCAAACTCCACAAGTCACTCAATATTTCCGTCCTCCTACGTATATGGTGCAGAAGCTTGGACAGTGACGCTTGCTATGCCGTGTCGTACGAATGGATGAAAACACACCGATTCGGATAGTTTTGTTACGGTGGAAGCAGAGAAAAATGAATATCTTCACTCTGTTGTAGGATCTTTTACTTTCTGGTACTAAAAGTTAAGATTAAAATTCGCTATAAGCGTTTTTACTTTAGACGTTGAAGCTGTAAAGCTGGGTTTGCTCAGGCACAAATTTTAGCTGAAATGCACCGTGCGACCAGACGACAGTTGTATTTAGGAGCCTACGAAAGCTTGCATTATCTCATATCAGGCCTAGGCGACTTCGGTTTTGATAGGATATTATATAAGGCTGAAGTGTGTAGCATTCTTAAAAATGCTTAAAACATATGTACATAGATTTTTAGACACCGATCTGGATTATGATTTGGGGTTTCACCTACGCAGAACACATAGGGTGAAGTGGACAACTAGAACCAAATGTTTTTAAATCCTTTTTTATTGTTGAACTTGCCGTACAAGTAAGTGACTCTAGTAATAAAAACAGAGTTTAAGATAGAGAGTAACGCATTTAAAGAGCTTAAATACTTGTTTACAATTCAGGAATTTCCATTTCCCTTTAACACAATCACACACTAATCAATGTTCCTTGTCTTCTTAACTCACCGTTGCACTCGAAGGCGTTGCAATTGCGCTGCTCAATATTGTAGCCCTCACAGAACATTGTCGAATAGCTTTTCATTGGCCTTCGGCGCTTATGTTGACGATGCGTGGAGTTTGTTATTTGTCCTTCGCCATCGTTATTTTGCGGTCGTTCTTCAGCTTCTTTATTCCCTACTTTCAAACCGTTGCTGGCGAAAAAATTTTCCTCATTTACTCTTAGATTACCTTCGAATGTCCGCATCAATTCATCGTTGTCACTGTCGCTGGTGTTCTTGTGCTTCATATCATCAATTCGGCCATCCAACTCATTGGCTTCGGTTGCTTGGCCAACAAATGACGCCAGCGGTGTAGTTGTTTGCCTCAAATTGGATTTATGTGATATATTAATTTTGTAGCCCGCGTGTTTATTTGATGTCGCAGAAGCGGTGATGGCGTCATCCTCCGCAGAGGCCTCGCCCTGAGTTTCCGCATTTCCATTCAACTTGCGTAAATCGCCGCCTTTGTCATTTTCAATCGAATTCTTTCGATTTTGTTGCTCGGCTCTACCGTTAGCGAATGGATTATCAAAGGTTTCACCATTGGGGTCTACTAACGTATTACCCGATAGGTGAGTGTTGGTAAAATCGGCGACGCTCAGCGTATCACGGGCAACCACATCTTCATCGGCCGCATCATCATCCTCATCGGAAGCTGCATTGAGGTTTAGCTGCATGTTGAAATTCACCATCGGATTATCGAGCAGGCATCGCCGGAATCTTTGTTGCACACCTTTGCCGCATGTAACGCTGCAGAGCGTGAAATCACTCCAATCATCCCAACCTGCAGCGAGCGTGCACATACACATACGTGCGTTAGGCAGCAGGCCGTGGTTTATGAATGTCGCACGATTTTCATTTGTTTGTGTTAGTGTCAAGTGCCATTGTAATTGGAGATGAAGCGACGTTTTTGTTTTTGTATTTGCGCAAAGGCGGCGTTGTTGTTATGTATGTGCATAGGCCAGTATCCCGTTTTACGTGTGGCATGTTGCAATATGTTGCCATCAATTTAGTGCCACATGCGTAACGGTAATTTTCACGGAAGCAGTAGTCGACGGGTGGGAGCCACATGGTTGCCACAGCAGCATGTCGTTCGTTCAACGTTCATCATTCATCATCACCAGTGACATCATTGCGCGCCGCGGTGGAGCCAGACGGTGTTTTCGTTTCGTTGAAGTGAATGTGGATATGGATGAGTTTGTGGCATGGTTTTGTAGTTGATTGTGGAATCATCACGTTGGTCGCCATCGTCGTATGTCACACGTGAACCGGAAATGAGGGACAGGTAGTTTTACGTATATAAATTAGTATTTATATTTTTACGTTTTTCTATGTAATAATTACAACGCGCACAGTGAATGCGCAATTAAAATCTTAAACTATTGAAAGTTTCCATAGAACTTGGTCCTCAATAATCAACTCGAAAATTCAGGACCAACATGCAGAAGTGAGGTAGGTGTTTGGAGATATGTAAAGGAGTGTGTGATTAAAAATGTATAATGATTTAATCCCCCAATCATGTTACCGTTGGTTCATGGGTTGACTTATTCTGTAGTCTCGTGTAACCCATAAATTCTTTTAGTTTATTCCAACCATGTGTTTAAGGCAGTTGGGGGAGACACTCTCGCTAGTGGCAGCCTGTTTTCTGGGACCATCGGACTAATCTTAGCAATACGTAATACCATTTGAAAGGTCAGGGATTGAATCCTGGTTCGGCCAAAATCCAAAATTATAGAACAGTTGGTCCAATTCACTACTACCAGGTTAAGGTGCTTAGTAAGTTTTATGTACAGAAAGAGTATAAACTGAAAGTGAGTCATTGTAATCATAATAAATTTTATCCGTTTATGGATTTATTCCTAATCGGTTTAAGCTTTATAGACTTAGGCTACATCTAACAAATTCCATTTGTGGAATGCAGCATCCAAAACATTTTAAGGCCTTTTGCAGAGATTACATTGATAGCCGATTCGAGCACAAAGTTGATAAAGGCGAGAATTTTAGTGCTTATTTTAACTGTAATTTCATGTTAATCGAAAGATGTCTATCGCTTCTGTTGAAAACTTTGGAAATGTAAACATTAAACAAGTTATTTAAAAACATTTTTTCGGTTTTACCCGGAATGCAAAGCTGTCTGTCATATAACGCTAAACGTTAAAATAAAAGTCTGATGTTATTGTGATAGCGACGGTCATAGTCTTGTCTTTTTTGTTTTTTAATGCAAAACAATTCGAACCTATTTATAAGATTAAAATTTTTATACGAATTTCATGATTTTTTGATGAAATAAAATTGAATTTCTTAAAATGGTCTTGTACAATAAATATCGCATTTTAATGATATCACCTTTCCGAGTCATTAGCCTTGCTAAGCTGGCAACATGGACGGTGTGTAGTTGTCTCACGCTGCCGTCGTGCCGGCTTCTAAAGAATTGTTCCCGAGAGGTGTGGAGGTGCTTCAATTTACACAGCTACCCCTTGGTGTGCTATCGTAAGCTGAACACTTCGCTTCAAGCTATTCCTTTTTAATGTCTATACAGATTTATTATACTTTTTTTGCTTTTGGATGTATTTTTTTTTCGTTTCTACGATGGCAAGCAGAAGAAGGCTTTGCTCATATTTGCTTTATTTTCGATCTGTTATCGATTCGAGTTTTTCTGCAAATTCAGCTACTTGAAAATATGTTCTTCTGTTGTTTATGTTACTTCGTTTCATTTTTTTTTTTTTGGTTTTGTTTTTCTCTTTTGCATAAAACAACAAAGTCGCATCCCTCAACATTACTATTTGTGCTATTTCGTTTATCTTTATCTAGCCAAGCCACTGGTTGTGAGGATACATATGTACATATGCATATACTTGTTTGTGTGTATGTAGTTGGCAAAGACAGTTCAAGTACTTACATCATCAGATGATTGACTGCAGAAGTACCGATGAATGTAAAATAAAATCGATAACATATTGACACTAAATATCACATGACTGGCGTGTAAATTTCCAACTCATTCTATTCGCTGCTATCGCGTGTACTTTTACATACATATGTGCCTGACCCCCACCCTCCGAATTGTGGAACCACTAGAATACGAATTCACATTACCTACACATGTGCATTCTTCAGTCCCCCAGAGTAAACTTAACAGATGTCTTTAGGTATATTGAACTCGTTCTACAACTTGGAAAAGACTTTCTTGCAAATTTGCCCACGGAATTTCCAAAAATTATCATATCAACAACCGAACATCTAAAGTCTTTCAGTGGATAAATAAATCCAACGCTGAAAATGGGAAAATCGCAAATGAGTTTATATACATACATATGTAAAGGCAGAAAAAATATATGTATTGACATATATGCAATTTTTTTCCCTTCGCAGAGCAGCTCAAAACCGAAAGTGACTAAATATGATTTTTTAATAAAATTGAATTGTATCTTTATGGATTTTCGTTTAATACACTCGAACAATTTATTATTCATTGATTAATCTTTATTGCCTTTGTCGAACACCATAATACGAGGGGGTGTTTTTATGTTCGCCGAATAGGGAAAAGGGGTGAAAGACGGACACAATTTTTAGGCATTTCAATTAATTTATTTATACCCTTAAAAAAACTGTATTTTGAAGATAAAAAGATATCTTCAAAATGCAGCGAAACTTCCTCCTTGACTCCATCAACCATCTATTAGTTTTTGGAAACGAGTAGCGGAGCCAGACTTTTCAGGATTAGATCGTTTCATGAGTGACTATATTTAAATTTTATTTTTTAATGCTAGCTGTCTAAGCGGGTGGGGGAGAATGTGAAATGTATTCAAGTTGAGCATTAGGCTCGTTACAAAAAGTTGTGGCCTTTACTCAATGCCATAGGAGGCAACTGACGGTGCGCAGACGCTAATCGCTTACTCGAGGAGCATGAATGGGAAGACGCAAACAGATCAGATAACAAGATATCTGACCTGTTCCATTAGAAGGTCCATTCCATTGCAAACAATGAACAATAAGCACTTATGCTAGAAAGCAAAACCCCAAATAATAGGAAGCAATTAGCCAGCGCCCAAAGCTATGCAACGATTTACGCTCCTCGCGTAAACACTGGCACTAGAGGCATATAGAGTACAAGAAATCTACTTTTGTTATGTTAACAATCAAATAATCTGTTGTTTCGTTCAACTTTGTGGCGATTCCTTGAGGAAAAACCTAAAACACTAGAAAGTTTTTCTGTGCAAAAGCTAAAAAAAAGCTAAATTCAGAAAATAAGTGATAAATCTACTTGAAAACTGCTATTATAGCAACACTGATGATGATTTGAGGAATTTATAGGACTACACAGGTACACTTAAGCGAAAAACCAGGCAAAAATACTCCCGAGCTCAAGTGTTTTGAAACGCCAACTGTTGGAAGCACAGGAAGAGACAGACCGCAGTTTGGTGGAAGGCCCCAGTCTAAATGGATCTACCTTCACTTAGTGCAAAAAGGAAAAAGACGCGCTGTTTTTGTTTTGGCTGTAATTGCATAAGCGGTGTCTGCGACTGTTAATCTTTTTTTAAATGTATTACTACAGTTTATCAACGCCTGCGTGAATTCATTAAAAAATTATTTAAATACAAATATTTAATTAGTTTATTCGGTTGGAAGAATCAAATACTATTTGTGGCTGTGCAGCAAAGCCAACATTCATACTTACACAAATGTACATATGAATGCAAGTCAAAATAATACTCTGCAATTCTGGAATTCTGGTAAAATACTATGGGATGAGTGCATAAGTTCGTGCCCGATTTCAAGTGCAAACTAAAATTGAAATTTTTTGAAGAAAGCGCTTTTATTAATCAATTATGTATTCGATATCATGTTCGGCAATCCACTCCCAACGTTCAACCAATTTACGGATGCCTTATTCATAGAAATCGCGCGGTTTCTCGTTGAAAAAGGTGTCAAGGTGGGTTTTGACGTCTTCCACATTTTTAAATTTTTTTCCATTCAAACTGTTCTGCAGCGATCGAAACAAATGATAATCAGAAGGTGCAATGTCGGGTGAATATGGGGGATGCGGCATGATTTCCCAATTCATCTCCTTCAGTTTGGCCAGGGTCGGTTTTGCAACATGTGGCCTGGCGTTGTCATGATGGAAAAGAACTCCTTTGCGATTGGCCAAAATCGGACGTTTTTCATCAATTGCTTTCTTCAATTCGACCAATTGCTGACAATACTTGTTGGCAGTGATCGTTTCTCCAGCTGGCAAGAGCTCAAAATAGATCACGCCTCGGATATCCCACCAAATGCACAGCAGTACCTTCATCGGATGCAATCCACCTTTCGACATCGGTTCCGCCCCTTCGTGTGCCTGTTTCCATGTTCTTTTGCGTTGAACATTGTTGTACAGGATCCATTTTTCATCACCAGTCACGAGCCGATCCAAAAAAGGTTCGTTTTTGATCCGTCGAAGCAAAGAAATTGCTGTTGACATACGGTCCACTTTGTTTTTTTCACTCAACTGATGTGGCACCCATGTATCGAGCTTCAAAGTGTACCCAACCTTTTTTAAACGACGAAACGCAGTTGATTTGTTGACGTTCAATTCACTGGCAACCTCTTCCGTCGAAATACGTGAGTTATTCGCAACTAAAGTCCTTAGAACATCGTCATCAAGCTCAGAAGGCCGTCCACTGCGAGGTTGATCTTCGAGGTTAAAATCTCCAGAACGAAATTTCGCGAACCATTTCTTTACTGTGCGGAGTGCTGGAGCACGGTCCAAATAAACTTCGCGAATATCTTTAGTTGCAGCGCCTACTGTTTTTCCTTTGCGGAATTCGTATAACATAATATGACGCATATGATCTTTTTCGTTGTCCATCTTCCATGCGTCTTTTCACTAAGCAACTCAAATCAAAATGAAGTTATTTTATGCTTGATTTATAGTTCGGACTGTCACTTTTCCAACGATATATAATATGTATATATTTCTTTCACGAGCGCCACTCTCAAACGATTCGAACGACATCCAGCGGAATCGGGCACGAAGTTATGCACTCATCCAATATTATTTTGAAGATGAAATCATATAAGTTGGTTATTTCTATAGCAGTTCACCATAACGGGAGTAATAACAATTTCCACCACCGTTTGTTGTTCTTATATCCAGCACGCCACGACTGGGTTCCAAACTCAGTTATCCGCTGTTGAACCGCACAAACGTGACGTATATGGTCGCGATAGCCGAATAGTTAGATGTAGCTCAAGAAGTTCATATTTTTATTTTTTTTATTTTGGTGAAGTGAAAAATCCAACATGCGTAAAAGAACTAGTATGCAACTAGTATAAAGCTGATGCAAAGTCTGAAAATTGACAGTTCGTAGGACTTCGCCGTTTTAAAAACCCATTTGCTTACATGGTTGGTTAAACAATAACAATTAGTGTTTTTTCCTGCAGGGTATGTACGCGTATGTATGTACATCGCTCTTGCACGTTGAAAATAAAATCACTATTGTTCCCGAGCCAAAAATACTTTTTTTTTAATTATGAAATTTTTTAATACCGCTTTCGTGTAAATGTTTTGTCGATTATTCAACATTTAATTCTGTGTATTTTTAATTTTTATTTTTTTTTAACTCTTTTAAACTGTTAATTTATAAATTCACTCACCCAAATGCTTCCAGATGTGATTCTCAAATTGTGGACTCCAGCGATGTAAACCATTTATGCTGATCAATAAAAAGTCATTCTGTTGAGTTGTATGCAATCCATCAGGTAATGACAGTTGCTGTTGTTGCTGTACGGTCATCAATTTGCCGAAAATAATTAATTCTGTGGGTAAAATTTTCAAAAGGTTTCTATCGAAACATGACAAAGGCTGCAGAGTTGCATTCAACTGGCTGTTGGTTTTGACAGTACATTGTTGTTGTCACAATGTGAAATCGTTGATTGTTGTTTTTTGGTTACCGAAATGCCGAAATGAGATAAGAAATATATACTCTTTTAGTTTGTAATTGTAGTTATGAGTCTCTTTTAACACATTTTTATTACAAAAAAGTTACACTCACCCACACTGCGGACGTTGGTATATGTTTTTTTTTGTGTCATTAAAAATGGGTTCAGTTGACTCACCCTAACGGTTTTTACTACGTGTGTGGAGAATTAACTTTTCAAACTCAGCATCGAAATTTCACATCAATAATTGAGTAGTTCTATTTAGACTAAGTTGGATTTCCTAAGAAGATTCTAGATAATTTTTGAGTTCCATATGAATGCTGGTAGCACGTCTAACTTTAACGACTTTTTATGGTTGATCTTAACAGCATCCAAGATACATATATGTCATTTGGTGTACCAAAGATTTGGAAACTAAAGGATCAAGGGACTCCAATTAAGGGCTATTGCTACCAAGTCCAATCGCAATTTCCACTATGCAGACTTGTCTTGGGTTGAATGACCCATACTATACATATACTCGTATAGTGCCAATTTGCCATAAAAAGTTGAAATTTTGTTGAATTGTTGTAATAATTTTTTTTTATATTTAAAACCCATGCATTACACTTCAGTTACATACACTATATGAATGTATTTAAGTACGAGTGTGCGCATGAGTAAATTGATTACAGAAAGGTGGTGTTATTTTTACAATTTAATTGCATGCTTGTGCACATAGATATGTACATATGAATGCTGAGCTTTAAAAGTTTGCAATTAAATTTGTCATAGAGTGAAAACAAAGAAGAAGAAGAACAGAGTTGCATTTATATTTATTACCAACTCAATTGCAATTACGACACAAAATGCCACAAACATAATTAAGCTCTGACTTTTGGCAAATGCGTTTACCCACATGGAAATTCACGTATGCGAAATTTAAATAATTGCATTTGTCTCATGTGTTTTGTCTGCTCGGTGAGATTGCATTTGTTTTACTACAAAAAAAAAGTATGCAAACTTTTTGGCTTTGGAAAAATCTTTACATTCACTTCCTCCCAGAGTGTATTCAGTTTTGAAGTTAAGAACAAATCTTCAGAAACTGAATTTTGAGCCCAGGCTAGAAGGAGGAATAAAGGTAATAAATATGTTGAGATAGTAAATTAAGTTGGTACGGAGAATCTTTGGGTCAATGTCAGAAAAGTTACCATGAAATTGTTGAATTGGACTTAAAAAAAAGCCAATAATGCTACCGATTTTCTTCAAAGTGTTATAAGCTCAATCGTTACAATGTAAAATCCTCGGGAATCAAAGTGTTGTTCTTCAAATATCATAGTGTGCTACACCAGAAGTTCTCAACGCAATGTCGTGCAATATTGCCTTGAAATTAAACATCATTTGTAATATCAGGTGTACAACTTTGCTGCCGCCGTTTCCCGATAGGTGGCTGTACCGGCTGAGGCTGGTTGAAATACATAGATGATAATGCCTTTAAAGTGAGTGTGGACAGTGCCTAACGAATTGTCATCGCCGTTTCAGTGACAGTTGTTCTTGTTTTCGTATTATCCACGCTCGAAAATGTCCGTTTATGTGCCTAACTCTCGCCATTTGCGGTAAGCTTTACTTTTCTGTTACAATTCGAAAAAAATGCAGCTGAAGCGCATCGAATGCTCTCAGAAACTTACGGTGATACCGCTCTGAGTGAAAGAACGTGTCGGGAGTGGTTTCAACGAATATTCACGGCGCCAAGGTTATAATTTCTATTTGGTGGGATCAACTCGGTGTGATTTACTACGAGCTCTTAAAACCGGGTGAAACCATCACAGGAGATCGCTACCGAACGCAACTGACGCGCCTAAGTCGCACGCTAAAAGAAAAGCGACCACAATATCAAGAGCGACATGACGAAGTCATCCTCCTACACGACAATGCACGGCCTCACGTCGCAAAAGTGGTCAAAAAGTACATGGAAACGCTGAAATGGGAAGTCTTACCCCACCCGCCGTATTCCCCAGATGTCGCCCCTTCTGACTTCCACCTATTCCGTTCGATGGCACACGGTCTGGCAGATCAACATTTTCAATCCTTCGAAGAATTGGAAAAATGGATTGCTTCATGAATAGCGTCAAAAGAGGATTTCTTTTTTCGAGCCGGGATCCGAAAACTGCCGGAAAGATGGTAGAAAGTTGTCGCTAGCGAAGGACAATACTTTGAGTAATATCTCTGTAAGCACTTTTTCGCAATAAAGCTTTCAATTTTGGAAAAAAAACGGCGGAAGCAAAGTTGTACACCTGATATTGTACAAAAAAATCTCTCAGGTTGTTGGATAAAAATTCATAGCTTTCACATATCAATCTCTTACTCGTCACAAGTTTCAGCTGTAATTGCATTTATCTATGCAACATATTTGGTTCCCATCGACTATTACCTGAAAACGATCTCTCGTACCTTATAACTCGAGAAAGCTTTCAACGAATTCAACAGAATTTATACCACTTTTGGTTTATGTTATCCCGATTAGGAAAAGCCTTGATAATAAAATATTCTTGAGCTAATAACAACGCAGTTTCGAGAATTGAGAGGATTTAATATACATTCCATATTACTAAATGAGAATCTGAATAAAGAGAATTGAAAGGCCTAAATGGTAATAAGCGTTTGAGAGGAGTTGCCACCAATTTTAAATTTCGACTAGAGGGAAGGAGGGCCAAAATGCAGGCGCCAAAAATAAAAACTTTCGGATGCTGCTCGAACCACGACTCGAACCTCTCAACTATCGCGACTACATTGTGGCGAATTCGTTGCGCCTATTGGGTTCACACATGCATGTATGCATGTAGGTATATTCGTATGCTCGTATGCTCGCATGGGCTTCCATACCGACAAATTATCGGCTCATTTGCAGGAAATGCGATGTTTTATGGTTAATTTGTAAATGTTGATTGTGGTAAATATGCAGAAATGAGAAAGCTTTTAAATGGGGCATTTCCCTTTCGCAATTAATTATGTCGAAGTGTTGAAATATATAGTGGAAATGTGCGGTTGTGTGCGTGTGCTGCATTTGTTCGGTCAACTACGTTTCAGCATGTGGCAGCTGGTGCAAGAGCAGAAAAGTGCTTTTTAATTGCACTTGTAACTTGCAACATAAAAACCTACGCACACACATTCGCCTTAAATGACAGATTCACGCAGACGGTTATGCGTGAAATGCATTTGCCAGGGGAGGCTTGCTTGCTGGTCACTTATAGTTGGTGAGTTTGCAAATTGTTAACCCCTTTTTAAATTAAATTGTCACTTTTCTCCAACGCATTATGGAAGCGTGTTGCTTTGTCAGCAACTATGCCAGCTGCCAGTCTGCCAGTCTGCCATCCAACCGTTCACTAGTCAACTAGTCGGGAAGTCGTGCTCAAAGCATCACAGAATTGCATACACATACACGTATTTACGTCTTGCTTACTCACCCTTCATACTGATACGCAGACTCGGACGCTGTGCTGGCGCTGCTTGCAGTGCCATAGCTCCCGCTGTGCCCAATGCCTCTGCCAATGTTTCCTCCACCGCCGCCACCCTCTCTTGCGGCAGTTTCCCTGCCGGGTGTCATTTTCAAGAGTGACGCGCCTTTGTATATCGTTTCCGGTGTTAATGTTATTAAAATGGACTCGTCCAACACACGGCTCGTGCTTGCTGCTGCTGCTGCTGCTGCTGCTGTCGCTGCCGCTGCCGTCGCTGATGCAACAGTACTTGAGGTGTCCGAAGAAACAGCATTCGGACTGCGTTGCCAGCCTGAAATATCCAAAGGTTGTTGCTTTGGCTGCATCTGTCTTTGTCGGGCTGCGCCGTCAGCTGCTGAAGGCCTGCCACTAGCCTTGTGAAATGTTGCTGATGCAAACAAATTATTTTGCACATTCTGCCATTTCAGCTCGCCATTGACAGCGCCGCCAGCGACTTCGGGCGGACTAGCTCCTGCTTGCACAGCATTTAGTAACTCATTGGTGCTGACGTCGTCTGTGAAGATGTGTGCGCCGAGAGCCTTCAGTATGACTGGGCTTTTTTTGATCAGCTCTGAGATGCTATCATGGACACAGGGCGCTGGTTCGCGTCCACTTTTCACTGCGATTGGTGTTGAGTGTGTGCTGGAAAAAAGCAACGCTGGACAGAGCACGATGCAGGCGAGAAGCAATGGCCACGGTTGCTTGTTGATGCACATTTCTTAGATTTTTTTTACGCCCGGCCTACTTGTTTGTGAATTTTTCCTTGCGTTGTAGAGCTGTAGTTTGTCGAGCTCAAGTTTTCCGCTTTGTTGTTAATGTTATGATTTTGAGGCTAGCAAAGATTTGTGCCTTTAAGGGACCTTAAAATGTCGTCGTTGCTAGCTGCTGTCGTTGTTGCTATTATATTGTACACGCAGGCAAGGACTTCAATTGTCGAACTCTTCAAAAGAAACTGGAGAGCCGATGTTGGTGGAGTACAGTGCAAGCAGAGTTGGTGCAGTTTTGTACAAAATACCAGATTTTAGATGATTTTCTTCACCAGCCCAGCGTTGTGGTTGTTTTGTGAGTATCTCATGAGTTATCGGATTCCTTGAAAATTCGTTTTAGGGCAAAAGTCACGTCTGAATTTCATAATCCATTTTTAGTCGCATTTGAAGTACTCTTCTCAGTTTTTATAGTTCCTTCGTGAAGTGGCTTGGCAAAGCAAGCCAAGAATTGTGTTGCGAAATCTGAAAAACAGCAAAATGCAATTATGAAAAAGATGTAATTTAGCTGAACTTAAAGTAAATGCATATGGAGGGCGCAATGATTTTGAAAGTGGAAAAGTGTCATTAAATGTAAATAAAAGTTTTTATTCAGTTTGGTTCCTTACAACTTTTATGGACTAGTTGTTGAAAACAACATCAATCCAGTGATTACAAAATGTTTCCTTTTTTCTGCGTTTGCCGTTGCCTTTCCGAGCATCTCGGGTGATATGGCGTCGATTTCAGTACGAAGGTTTGCCTTGAGCCGGTCAATAGTTTGAGCTTGATTGGCGTAAACCTTGCTTTTCAGATAACCCCACAAAAAGAAGCCCGGGGGGTTACACCTGGTGATCTTGGTGGCCAATCAATGTCGCCCCTTTTAGATACCACACGTTTTTTCGATATGCACATTGAGTTAAAATAATGGAACGACTGTTTTCGGTATAAAGTGTCACTATTTCAGCGCGTTGTTTCGATATGACGCGATCCATAGCAAAAATTGTACTGTATTGACGTTTCCAAAACAAATCTGATGCAATCGCTCGGTTGGTAAATGTAAAAGTTATTCAGCGTTTACATACTGACATAAAAGAGCTTCCTCTTCTCTGCGCATGTTGGCAATTTTTCCAACTTTTTTTTTTTTTATTTGTAGCAAATTCCATTTATTCGAAATATATGCATCAATCTGAAGAAAGTTTTTTTATGAAACAATTGATGTAATACTCAATCTTGCTCTTCGTCGTTCCGCTGTTCACCCGAAATTTTTACCAAAAGGTGTATGCGGTTCCTTCTCCATTTGCTGCTACAACGAAGTAAGGGTTTTCCTCTTCCTTTACGAGTCCGTCCACCGGCATCGATTGCTTTTATCACAGCAGTAATTTCCTCCATTTGGGTAGCATAACCAACCAAAGGTGTTTTTTTCGAAAACACTCAGTGCCGTCTTATCGACTTGCAGAGCTTTGTTTTCTTTTTCATTGAGAGAGGACTTTACTTTTAACTGACTATTCATATGTCTATTGGTGCATCTGTTAGTTTTCAAGGCAGACAATGTGATGTGGTTGACGAAAGACTGGAGATATTTGACTTATCCTCGCTCATAATCGTATCTATTTGCTTCGCTTTCATATCCAGTCTGCAGAAAAAATAATTAACACTGCATACGACAACCGTTATACACACTTTTAGAAGGTTATAGCCTCTAACTTTGGCTATGCAGCCCGCGCTTTTTCCAGCACTACAAAGAGTGGTCGTTTGCAATATTCCGGCTCAGAGAGGAGGTTTTCTACACTGGCGGAGCTTTTGATATTAGAAACATTGGGAAAAAAGTCGAACAAAGAAATTTAAAAACACACGGTTTTGAAAATATTTTCGAGAAAGAGCTGGCATCGGTTTCTAATTTTAAACTACAAAGTAAAAGGAATATTGTAATTGAAACAGATGCTTCGGAATTAGAGAGAATCTATTAGAATTCTTAGAGGGAGCGAAAATTTAATTTAATGTGAAACACATAAATTAAAAAAATTTCCTAAATAGCTTTTTCCAATAAATAATAAAAAAAAAAAACGGTAAGCATATTGAAATCTGGTTGGAGAATCGGATACAGTAAAGGAGTTCCTCGTGAATGTATAATTTTAAAAATCACCTTTTATTTAAATTCCATTTCTGTCTCATTTTCTTATTATATTCTTTTTTGTCTACAGATTGGTTTTTGTTAAATGTTCATACTAGCGGTATTCCACATTGAATGGCCGCAGTAGCAGTATCCAAAATTAATGAATATCAATTTGTATAGCTATTTTGTACATGAAATCGTTTACTAACTTTGGTTCAGATGGAGAAGAGAGAGACCCATTCAAACTTAAACTGATATGATCAGACTAACGTCTCAACGTTACAGCTCATGGAATGATCCTTTCTGTAGAATTGATCGAAGAAGACTCTTGTGTCTTGTTGTTAAGAAAAAGTGGTATTACTTGGTTCGTCTAGGTGGTCTTAGTAGGCAAATAGCAAAAAAAAAAAACTTTTTTTAATTTTTCAATTTCTTCTTTCCTTCTTCCTAATAGCAAACTTTATTTTCCTGCACAGCAAACTGAACTTCAACCAAATGAAATCTCAATATTACAATAACAATAAAAACCCTCTTTAAATTCTCATTCGAAGTGAACTACTTTTGAAACAAAATGCGAGGTTGTTAAAGCCAAAATACCGACTCATTATTCCGAGAACAATGCGATTTCAGCATTTTGTTATTGCCTTGAATGCTATTTGCTCTTAGTCAGCAAATATAGGAGAACCCATTAAATGTAAAACAGTTTAAGAAATGACGAGCAATTGCCGCGATGGCATAGTAAAATTACCGTAAAATGAAGTCTTTGAATGAAATGGTTTCGCCGAATGGAGCTGATTTTTAAGTTGATACGAAGAAATGAAGAGAAAATATGTAAACGAAAAATTAGAAACTGCAAAACAATAACAGTAACAAGTACCGAACTGTGGCTGCCAGTTAGTTTGCCAACGCAAAACTCTGCAGCACTGCAGCAGCAGCTATAAAAATGCACACAAAATATTTTGCAACTACAGACCAATGGAAGTCAACCCCTGATGCGCAAATACGAGCTAGTGAAACGTGAAGGGGAAATGGATGGCAACTGCAAAGAAGGCTTGGAAAATTCAAAACACTTAACAAATTGCGACTTTATTGCGGGTGAAGAGAGGCTTCAACATAGCAAAGTGCCACTGAAGTGCCCAGAGTGTTTAACCGCAACCAAGCACAAGCACAAGCACAAATACAAATACAAATACAAATACAAATGTAAACACTTAAGTGTATTTGTGTTCGTACATACATACACACATATCGTGCGGATATCATACTTACCTATTTGTGTATGCCGCAACGACACCGAAACTATCAAATAAAGAAACAAACAGATAACCAAACAAACTAATGAAACCAAAATGTCAATTGACAATGTATAAAATTGATTTAATCCTGCAACTGGCTCTCTGCACACACAACACCCCACCCCCGCCCTGCCGATCCGCCCACGCACATCGGCAAATGTGGAAAAGAGTAAAACAAATGGACTGGCACACACATACATGCACACACACATGAAGGCGCACACGCAACATTGTGGAGTTGGCGACACAGAAAGTGACTGCATTCATTTTGGTATTTAGGCCACAACAACAACAAAATTGGCAACAACCATAGTCGACATTCGACAATTGACAATTGAGATTTATCAAACGAGAAGTAAAAATATCGACCAGACACAACAATGACACTTTTGAAGAGTTGCAGTGATTGTTCGGCAGCTAGTTGTTGGTGGGATGGGTGAGGGATGCTAGAAAATCACGAATTCAGTGAATGTAATGCGATTTCCCATGATTTCAAATCGTGACAGGTATCCACACCTGAAATCTCCTTTTGCCTTATTTTTGCATCACAATAACAATTGTTTCGTGGCTTGGTTGTTCAGGTTGCTAGGTAGCGTAGGGTGCCATGGAGCTGGTGATTGGTGGCTGACGTGGCACGTGCTTCTACATACACACATCCTCATGGAGCGGAAAGCGCATTTCACTTGTGTTTTAAAATTCCTCACGTTCACCGCTCGTTTTCGGCAAATTGCCATCCGTTCAAGGGGTAAGATAGCGGCAGCGGCGACGGCAAGTGTGCCTGACTGTAGTACTGTATATTGTTTGCAGTCGAAACCACTTCTAGGCAAAGTCACTAGGTTTAGTCTGCACAATTGAAGACGCAGTGAAGCTTAAAAGCACTGCGTTGAGAAATGAGCTTATTTCGTGTATACACTCACTTCTTAATACTATTTATACTCCTCGGTGGCATGGAAATCCATTGATGAAATGGCAAATAAGCTGACGTGGCACATTCTTGTTCATTAAGCTATTAAACTAAAGCTAAATTGCAATTAATAAATATTAATAGCCTCATTTCATTTCTACAGCCCTATTTTAGGTCATAAATCACACTGTAAGAATCGGCTACCACCCAAACATCGAATATAAATATGTATTTTCCTAAATGGATCGATTCACTTACTGTAAAAAGTTTTTAAGCAAAAAGACCTATTAATACGATTTTTTCGCCGCAAAAGGCTATCTATGTACAGAATTGGAAGAAAAGCGAATTATGCCTATATTTTTTCCGAATAGGTCAGTCTGTGGTCCACTTTCTGGTGAAGAGAGTAGTCTTCCTGTTAATGTAAGCAGAGAAAATGGATACATGTACACAAAAGTTCTAAAATATTAGTTTTTGAAGATGAAAATATACTAATATTATAGTAATAATAATTCCCACCACCGCGTGCAGTTTTATTTCAACTCCTCCACGATTGGGCTCTCTTCTCAGCTACGGCTTGTTGAAGTGCGCAAAACGTAGACCATCGCTTTGACGTTATGATAACCTAGTAATTAGAGATTATTCCGGTAGCGCATGAGGTTCACGGTGCCCATCTCGTAGCGGATAAACACACATTTTGTATTAATTTTGTTTTGTGAAGAAGAAATACAATATATCTAAATGAACTGGTATACAACTAGTATAAAGCTGATGCAAAGGCGTACAATTGGCAGTTCGTGTTAAAAAATGCCAGTTTACATGGGAAATAGATGGAACATGAACTTGTGAATGGAAAATGCCAACTCGTTGAATGCTAGTTAACAACGAGTATTTAGATTTATGGATTTAGATTTGTGGATCTTAAAAACGAACATATCATACGAATTTAATATCACTGCCATATACATACATACATATTATATGTAGGTTTATTCTGAGTAGCTACACGTTTCACTTTTATAGAATATCACGCAAATCCGATTTCTTAAGAATAACACAAAAGAAAACAAAATTTATAAAATGTACGCAAAAAAATATACCAACACATTCAGAAAAAGCTTGTGAAAAGTAAAAGTTTCTGTTCGACGCGGCTTTTGGAGCAGCGCAATACACATTTTAA